CTAGTTATTTCCCACACCATAGAACTTAGAATTTACATACCCTCAGACTTAACCACTCTCTTACCATGAACAACCACCATAGAAGAAACACCCTTCCTGGACCTAGGATCAACATGGCCAACCTAGTTATTTCACCTTGGAGAGGACAAGTTTACCCCCCTCAACTACCCACACTCCAGTACTACAATCCTGGAGCCACTTTCTATCAACAACCTCCACCATCAGCCTTCTTTCAGCACCCTTCTTCAAACACCTTACACCAAAATCCAGGGGCCAATGCCTTGTACCAGCTGTTAATCAATAGACTAAAGAATGTACTTCATTAATACCAGCTTTTGAAATACAATAGAAAGAAGAAGATAAAAATATAATCACCTAAAGCATCAGATGACAAAAGAAAGAACAACAATATTTTATAAGATGATAAGAATGAGAAATGGAAAGAGTTCTGACAAAAGAGAGTGGTTAATACTGGTTCAACAAATGAGAGAAGATCCACGATGGTGACCTACATGGAAGGAACTTTTAGGAAAGTAAGGATCGGCGAGTTTGTCGAGAAGAAGGGATAAAAGATGATGGGTGATGTAGTGAGAAGCGATGCTGATGAATGTCACGAGATATGAAGACTTGCGTTTGGGAGAGGAATGTCGAGACGAGATAAAGTATGATAAGAATCTTGATATGAAGAGGAGAACAGTTGAGTGTGTCTGATTGTGAGTGAGGAATAAGAAAGAGTTTATTTCCTGAGGACTGAAAGGAGAAGCAATTCAAGGTGAGAGAGCAATATGATAAGTTGAAAGAAAAGGGATTGCGCATGCAAAGACTTCAGAGGAATCAGGAGTGATGATGAGGAAGAGGATCGAGCGGAGAGTTCAGATAATTTTAGATGTGATGATGTCATTGTAGGGGCTTTAGCAAAATGAAATCATCATTTCAATATTGAGGGAGAAAAAGAAGCTAAGGTTTGAGTGAGTTTCAGGAGCTTGAGCCTAGACTTCAACACCAGCAACCCCCTACCAACAACTTACCCTTCAACCCTGTACCTATGAGAGATCCTCAAGCAACTGAAAGTGATGATTTGGACCCATTGTAGAGATTGTTTGTCCGTACTTTTTGCAGGTACCTGGTACCTCCTGGGGGGTACCCCTAGCACCCACCCCGCACCCGCCAGGAGGTGCCAGGTGCGGTACTTGGTACCTATTTTTGTGAAAAATTGAACAGGTACCTAGGTACCTCTACAGGTACCCCCTCACTTCCCTACCAAAAATCAAAATGATGGTGGCCTTCTACTCCAAGAACTCCAAGATCCAAGAAGGTACCTTGGCTGCATGGAAACAGGGACTCAAGGATAACAAGAAGTCTAACAAAAAAACAAAAATGAAGGTGATGGTTTTGGATGACAATGAAGATTCTTCCAATTAGTTATAAGTTTCAGATAGTTTCAACTTTTCAATAAGTTATTAAATATGAACAAATGAAAAAAGTGATCTGGGACTGATGTTTTACAATAAATATGAAAAAAATAGAAAAGTAAGATTCTTCCAATTAGATGTAGATATATTACAACAGATATTAAAAAATTCCAAAAAGTGACTTGTCAGTGATATTTTACAATAAATATGAAAAACAATAATAATAATAAAGTGACTTGGGACTCTGGGAGTGAAACTAGGTGAAAAAGAGAGGGGGGGTACCTGAGGTACCTGCAACAGGTACCTTGGGTACCCCCCGGGAGGTGTCTGGTGCGGTACATGGTATCTATTTTCTTGAAAAAATGAACAGGTACCTAGGTATAAACAGGTACCCAGGTCCAAACAAACGTTCTCTAACCCATTGGAAACCCAGGCACCTTTATCTCCACAAAACACAGGAATTCAGCATGGGGATCCTCCAACAAGAAGACCAACAGTCAAAACCACCAACCCACCAGAACCAAAGAAAGCCCTCCCAATCCAATTTTTGGAGGGAGAACCTGAAATTCCCAAATATACTGGAATCCGGATCCGTGCGGATATCTGGATGCAAAGAAACCATCTCTAATTTTCACCAGTCTCAAAAACAGACTGGGATTCTTAACATACCTCAAGGAGCCCTTAAACAATCTGCAGAAATTTCCATGGACCCCCATACCTCTTTTGGAAAATTGGAAGAAATTGACCAAGAAGAGGAATCCACCTATGAATGTGAAGCTGTAAAAAGGACCAGAAGTGGAAAGGAATACCCAGAAGAATCCTCAGTCAGTAAAAGATTCAGAAAAGAAAAAGAGGACTTAATGGATATAGACAGGTACAGACTTCAAGAAATTGCCAGACAGGATGACTAAAACCCAGTAATCCTCCCAACTTCATCCACAAAGGAAAATCACCCACCAAAGAAAGTCCAAATCCAGGAACCAGAAAGCACCACCATACCAACTACCAAGGAAAAAGCCCCTCAAAGGACCTGTGTGGAGAGACCTCTAACCAACCAATTTCCATATGCAGAAAACAAAGTGGTCAGCAGGATGTTAATGGATGGTAAAATGGAACTTTATATTGGGGAAATCTTTGCAATTTCTAATGGAACTTTTGAAGCCTTCAAGAAAATGATTAATCCAAAAACAGTGGACTCTACCAAATCTGCCAACACTGAAGGAGTTGACCAGGATGGAGAAGAAGATGAAGACTCCCAGGAAGAACCCAGTCATTATGCCTGACCCCTAGGATATATAGATGTCAGTATCAATGGGAAGCCATTTCAAGTACTATTGGACAATGGATCACAGGTCAACTTACTACCCAGGGACCTTGCAGCAAGAATGGGCCTCATAATCACCCAAAGAGCCATGAATCTGAAAGGTATTGGTGGCTACAAGAATGAAATTTTAGGAGTAGCTGAAAGTGTACCTGTAAAAGTGGGTCACATCACCAGAGGAATAAATTTATATGTTTCTGCAGGGAAATTCCAACCAATTTTGGGAAACCCATGGCTCATAGATGTGTTAGAAACCATCAAATTTCACCAACATGGATCAGAATCCCTGGCAATTCAGAAAGCAGGCAATAATTACTTGGTACCCATACATAATCCATCCAATCAGAAATGGGAGAAATATTTTCCTGTTCACACAGCCACTACTGCAAGTCATAGTTTCTGGCACCTCCCACAAGTGAAGACTTGGGAGGTGTCTAATAAAAAAGAGGAGGATAAACTAGTGTACCAGCGTACAAGTCACCGGCTTCAAAGAAACTTGATAACACAGACTTCAACTACTGCATTTCAAATTCCCAAGTACAAAATGAACACATGATTGGCATACTCAAAGGACGGTGGGCATCTCTTCATGAGCTGCGCTTGCATCTTGACAAAAAGAAACACATGCTGGAAATTGTGTGATGGGTGAATTGTTGTATCACTTTACATAACATGCTAGCTCAGTTGGGTGAATCATGCAGGGATGAGCTAGGTGGTCCACCCAATGATTGTGATAACAATGCAGAAACATCTTCTACATCCAGACAACAAACCAAACGGAGTAAGCAATGTGCTGCTGAGGCTTTCCGTGCCAAAGTACAATCAAAATGTCTCAAGTTTCATTTCCAAGCAGACACTTTAACCAGGCCTCAGAAATGACACTTTCTATAAGAGCATTGATTCATTTTAAATTTAATAGCATTCTTGACATTGTAATTCTTTTACCTACACTTTGAAGGGTATAATTTTATGGTGGCATTGATTATTCAAAGAAAAGAATAATTTCTTGCTTTTATTTTCCAATGCACAGTTTTTCATTTGAACAAAATAGGAGGTTTAGTTCAACAACTGCCAAAAATTGTATAACTAAAAAAAACTTGCAATCATCAGACAGGGAAGCACCAATCATATCTCCAGATTCCCATCAACGCTGGGCCAGCTACGCTAAACTTAGTGGTTAGCGCAGCGTAACGTAGCGGAATTGCACACAACTTTAGCATAGCGTAGCAGAATTCTGCCACTTCCACGCTAACGCTACGTGTGCAGACCCTTAAGAAGGGCTTGCTACGCTGCGCTAACGCGCTGGTTAGCAGTGTTTTGGCTGTTTAGAAGCCATTAGCGGCCGTAGCTAACACTATGTGAATCCAGCGCGCAAAAAGGACTGCTACGCTAACGCTTTTTGGGCAAAAAGTTTAGTGTAGTGTAGCGGCCCAGTGCTGTTCCCATGCACAAGGCAGAGTCTAGTCAAGACTATGATCAACCTGAAGACCAAAACACTATCCAACAAAGAGGTGCCAGCCAACCAGTTTATAGATAAAACTTGGTGACACAGGACAATTTTTGGAATACTGTTACAGATGACTGAGGTCACAGGTTCAAGCCCCATCGGAGTCACTTTTTGATATTTTTTCATCAAGGCCCAAATCGTAAATACACAAATTTTTTGTTTTTTGAAATGTATGTCTTGCAGAGGGAAATCCATTTCAATCTCTTTTCATTGATTCACCTATTGGAGAGTTCACTTTTGTCTGATTTTTACACCAATGATTTTATGATCAGTTGATGACCAGCAAGGTATAGGCTTGTCTGGAGTATAGAGGAATCCAATCATTTCAAACTTGTTCAGACTAAACTGTGAGGGGAATGACCAGGAAAAAAACCAGTGAGTGGTAAAGAAAGAAAAAAATAGAGAGATGAGGAACAAAGATATGTGATTAAATCAGATAGCAAACAAAAAATCCCAGAGATAACGGGTGAAAAAAGCAAGATGAGTGATGTTCTTTAAATGAGCCTCATGATGTGTCCAATCTCATCAGTTCGTTTGCCTTCAGCCATCATTTGCTGGATTAATGCCATTTGCTGTGACCGGTCCTGACACTTGTAAATAAACTTTTCTTTCTCCCATTGCAATTGGTTGTTGTCTTGCTTGAGCTCCCGAAAATGTTGTCGTTCATCAAGACTAGCCTAGCGTTCACATCTCACACCCTCTCTCCTTGACATCCGTTACTCCCGGGCTTCCTCTTGTGCAATGCTCCGTCAAAAGTTGATTAGATCCTCTTGACGCTGCAGGCAGTATTTTTCTCTTTCCAAAGCCAATTGTTGGTCCACATGACGTTCAAGCTGAGCCAGCTTAGTATGTGTGGTTTCTTCAAATGCTGCAGCAAGTGATGACTTCTGGGCATTTGACTGAGAAGTTCTGCTGGGTGTGGCGGGCTAGTTACTTGGAGGCCATATGTTTGGATGTCTGCTTGATCCTTGGCGTCCTTGTTGATGGTTTGAAGTTGATTGAGATGTAGAGGAATCTGAGGGTCTTGGTGAGTGCCCAAGTGCACTTCCATTCTCAATATCAATGTCCTCGCTGGTTTGACCAGCAAGCCATTTGTTTTCTGCAGTTAGATCAACATTGATTGCGTTGTCAAAGCAATCTTCAACACACTACAAGCAATACCGATTTTGCCCCAAAATTAAATGGCAATTCGGGTGGGGGAAAATGGATCAATTTTCTGGAAATTTTTTCCAAAATTCCTCAGGAGTAGAAATTAGGCTAAACTGAGCTATTTTAGCCCAGAGATATAAATTCATCAAACATTCCAAAATGAATTTTTAGCTCATTTGGGACATTTTTATTTTTTGGCTAAAATAGCTCATTTTAGCCTAATTTTTTACTCCTGAGGCATCTTGTGAAAAAAGTGCCAGAAAATTGATCTATTTTCCACCATCCAAATTGCCATTTTTCCTTGGGGCAAAATCGGTATTGTTTGTAGTGAACAGGGTCCTTGACCAAGTCCAACAAATCGTTGTAAAGCTCAAAAGTGTTTGTGAAAACCTTTTGCTGAGTGTGGAAAGGGATGAATGAGGATATCTCTGCCTTTCCTGGATCACTAGACACTAGACAAGCCCACCAATCTCAGATTGGAAGGTTTAATAAAGTGATAGTGGAGTGTATCAAAAGATAACTGTGGCTTAACAGGTGGACAAAGGGTTTAACCCAGTTTATATAGGTCTAAAAGGTTGATTTGAGAGTGAGAGAGTGAGTCTAGCTGATATTTCAATGTAATGAGATGGTATGTAATGGTATGTAAGGGTTTGTAAGGGTAGGGGGTATGAAATAGGTGGATGCTAAACTGAGGGGAAAACAACTGAGAGGAGAGCCTCTTAAATACACAAAGGTGAGGGATTTTAGCTTCAGGGGAACAAGAGAATGAGAGAATTTAGCTGGCCAGAGCTTTACAATGAGGGGATTTAGCTAGTCAGAACATGTACATGAGGTATTTTGGCTGGTTGAGCAACCTACATGATGTCATAAGAGTTATTCTAGCTTGAACTAGAAGGCTACATGAGGGTTTTATGCTGGTGAAGCATTTTACATGAGGTGATGTACTAGTCTGCAAGCTAAGGTGAGGTGATGAATATTACATGAGTGGTGTGAGATAGTCTGACGGCTGCAAGGAAGATTAACAAGTGACATAGCAACAGGACCAGCCTAGAAGCTACATATGTCAAGTGTCAGAAGATAGTGTAGTTGTGTATACCTGTACTATAATGATGTGAGTATGTAGTTGTCCTGCAACGTGCATGTGTGTAGTGTGAATGATGTAATTTGTTGTTGGTGTTGAGTGTTGAAGTGTTGTCATGGTGGTGAGGTGTGTAATTGAGTGTCGTGATGGTCCAGAGAGTGTAGCTTCCAATCTAGTTGAGTTCCAGTGACGCCTCCAGTGGTGACCAAGGGTGAATTTGACCATAGAATCCAGTTCTTGAGTCATAATGGGTGATTTGTGAGGTTATATATGAGAAAAAAGGTGTAAATAGTATGTAATTTGTAATAAAAGAAAAAACTGTAAAATTTTTAAATGGGCCAGATGGCTACCCTTAAGGTATACCACATCCTCCCCCAACTTATTTTCTGTCCCCAGACAATTCCGCCAAAAACTCCCCGCCAGGGTGCCGTGTAATTTGTTCATTGTGTTGTGTAAATTTACAGGAGCAAGTTCTTACTTCCACCTTTGATTCTGGTGTTTTCAGTATTCTTACTAAAAACAAATGGGCCACAAAAGCCCCCCCTTTATCTTGGAATTTTTTTTTTTTTAAAAAAAGGGGTTATTTGGGTTTTTTTTTTTTTTGAGAGAGTGCACAGTCCGCAGTCCGCAGTCCGCAGCAGGTGACGCCAAGTGGCCGTAGCGTACGCAGCAGCTTACTTAATCTTTTGAGGTTGCGCTCGAGTTCAGAATTTGGGGGTTTGGGGTGTCTGGTACCCGTCCCAATCCCCGTGCGCCTTGCGCTCTGTGCTCCAGGCCGTGTGCGCCGTTCCTCCGGGTTTCAAATTCCCGGGGCCCTGGATATGTCTGAGTACATACCAGGCAACCGGCACCACTTCATACCTCACGAATACAAATTCCGACACCTTCTCGTCTTCAAATCGGATTGACCGTCAGATCCTCGGCAAAAAACCTCGTAAGTAAGTGTTCTCTTGTTGTACATTGTGATCCTTAGCGTCCTCTGTAAGTGTACTGATAGACCTCCTGTCACCCACCGACTAAGAAGAATCCTTCAATTGAAGTTCCTCCCGCCATCCAAACACCGTTGCCGAGGCCGGTCTTTCAAAAAATGCCTCCGGTCCCCAGTTCTGTTTTTGGCCTGTCAAAGTGGTATCCACTATTCGAAAAGAAAAAACAACCGGCAATAGATTGGTTCAGACTAGGCTTCCCGTGGGTCTTGGCTTCGTGAGGTCAAAAGGTCCTGGTAAGATGAGAACACCAGCTGGTATTCCCCTTATTGGATTACTTCCTACTCCCTATTCGCGTATAAAGGTGAGCTTCCTTCCGCCCTTTCTGTGGTTCAGTCAGAAGCTATCCTTCATAGAATCCCCTTAGTGAATCCTACCCATAATTTAGTTATAGTCTTAGTTAGTCCGAGTTGTTCCCAATCCATTTGAGTGGTGACTGAAACGATTGTAGTGCGGTTTATTTTGATTGTGTAGCTTAGAGATATGCGTCCGTTGCCTCCTTCAACCAATCCTAGTCCTGGAACTTATCACTCTTATCCGATGTCCACCCCTCCCACTACCAATACTGGTGTGGGAATGAATGCTACTGAGCCAATAGATCCTCGTTTTCAGCCACCCCCTTACAATCTTAATCTGCCTCGCTTCCCTCATCCAGTTTTTTATCCGCACCCCCCTATGTTTCACCCCCCTGGTCAAGCTTTCCCCCCCTTTGGTCAAGGAGGGGGTCCACGCGGTCGAGGTTTTGTTGGAGGCAGAGGTAGAGGCCGTGGAGGTGGTCGTGGTCGTGGTTGGCTCCCACCTGCCCAGCTCCGGATTCGAGGTCAGGCTAACCGGTTCTATTACCCCAACGGTCCAGCCGCTGGGGTGCCGTTTGGTCACGGTCATGCGCCGGTAATTTGAGATTGTTTCGTGGTTGATATTCTTTCCACTGGATTGGCTTTACTGAAGCAAGTCTATGTATTTTTAAGCTCTTCAATTCTAACCGGGCCCAGGTTGACATGGACAACTTCTTGAATCAACACCCGATTCCGCCTGCGGTTCAACGCCGCCCAACTCCAATTCCGGTCCCGTCCTTGCCTAGCGTTCCGGCCGCTAACGTTGCTAGAGCTCCTAGCAACCTCAGCTCTATCCGCTCAGGCAATAGTTTTTATACCGCTGAAGACTTCCTCGCTCCTCAAGTTTGGGTCGCCTCTCCAACACCGGCTGGTATGTACAATCCCGACGACTATCATCTCCTGGCTCGTCACCAGATTGAATCCCTGCTAGACCGCTGCGCCGCGCCCAAGCGCTTTGATCGATATGAGTTTACACCTCAACATTTTGACAATTTTTACCAGTCAGCTACTTCGGCCCTGTTCCATCATTGGACCCGTCATCCTGCAGCCAAAGCCAACGAACGTCAAGACAGGGTTCGCCTCTTTCAGTTCATCACTCGCCAATACCGCACCATGACTCGCCGAGTCGTGTAGGTTGTAAGTTTTGATTCTTGTTTGTTATTTTGTTGATTGGTTGCTGATTTCTTGTTTTTGAACTTCCCCTGGTGTCTAGGCCGCTTCGTTGGAACCGGCTCTGCTGCCTGAGCATCATGGACAGCCAGTCTATAGGGGTAAAAAAGTACTAAAACCAAAAAAATCGATACATAACCTTTTCTTAACTCAAAAAAAGTATAAAACTTTCTTAAGCTAAAAAAATCAGTATAACTAAAAAATCCAAAAAAAAAAAAAATTGTCTAGTCTTAGCCTTAACTTATTTTTGTTTTAGCCTTAACTTATCTTAGCTTCTACTGCCTGCTGCTATCAATGAAAGCCCAAACCCCTCCCCCAACTTAAGAAAGGTTGTCCCCAACCTCAACTAAGTGAGAGAAGTAAGTGAGGTTGCCAAAAGGAAGTGCAGTGAGAGCATAAGTGAGTAAAAGAAGTTGAGAGATCTTCAAGCCAGTGAAGACCTAACTGAAAAGAAAGAATGAAGAGAAAAAAGAGATATGAAAGAAGATGAGTGTTTTGGAAGAAGATGAAGGAATTCCTCCCCCAACTTGAATAATATTAATCCCCATATCAACAAGTACAGGTGAGTTTCCTCCCCCAACTTAAAGATTTGAAGCCAGCAATGCTAATTATTTTTGGTTTTTCTGGTTGTTTTAGGTATTTTCTAAATTTTTTTCTGGTGTTTTATGGGTTTTCTGAGTTGTTGAAGTTAGAAAAGGAAACATATAGGTACCAAAAAAAAAGAAATCTATGGAAAAAAAAGAAGATTGAAATAATTTTTCATAATATTTTGTGCTTTTTATGTATGTTTTTGTGTTTTTAATGGGTTTTTCATCAATTTTTCTTGGAGTTTTTGGTATTTTCTGTGAGAAAAAGTGAAATTGAAAAGAAAATATTGATTAAAGCTTCCAGTGCTAATATTTTTGACTTCTTTTGTTAATTTGTGAGGTCTTGAACAGTTTAGTCTTGTGCCCAGGAGGTAGCTGAATTTAATTTGAACTATTTCCATCCAAGCCGTTGGAATCTTCCTCATGATCAGAGCTGTTTTGACTCTCATCATCATTACTTCCAATTTCTGGGTCTTCTTCGTCGTCCTTAATCTCGTCCAGCTGTTGTCCTCGAGGATAAAATCTTTTGACATGTGATGCCACATATGTCCGGTGAAGTTCAGTTCCATCCAGTTCTTCCAGTAAGTAAGATCCTTTGGGTAATTGTTCCTTGACTTTGAAAGGTCCATTCCATTTATTAGAAAATAACTTTCCCCATTGGTCTCCCAAACTTTTGTTGTAGATTAAAACTAGATCTCCGGTTTTCAAAGGTCTTTGTAATCATGCCGCCATTTTTTGATCCCAGTATCTGACAGAGGCTTCTCTGGCTTTGATCATTTTCTCGTGAGCTTCTTCCAGAATTTCCTCTCTTCTTTCCAGTTGCATTGTCCGGGCTTCCAAGAGTTCTGCTGTAGTTTTGATTTCTGACCAGTCTATCCCTAAATATGTATCCATTTCTAGGTCCACTGGCAGCACTGGTAAGTGTCCAAAAACCAGCTCATAAGGAGTGAAGCCAGTAGTTCTCTTTGTTGAAATTCTGTCGGAAAATAATACTAATGGAAGATATTCCCGCCATTTGCCTCCAGATTCTCCACACATTTTGACTAGAGTATCCTTGATTGGCCGGTGTCCGCGTTCTATCATTCCATTAGCTTCTGGATAATATGGTGTTGTAAACTTGAGTTTTGCACCAGCCTTTTCAACAGCTTCAATGAAATCTTCTTTGAATTCGGCAACATTGTCCACTGTGACTGTCTTGATTGCTCCATATCTGTATACCCAGGATTCCAGAAGAAATTTGGCCACATTGCTAGCTGTGAGTTTGACTAGAGGAGCGGCTTCTACCCATCCGGATAAATCGTCCTGTGCTACAATGAGATATTTGTATTGTCCAGCTTTGATATGGCATGCGTCCAGAGCCACTTGTCCAAAAAGATAACTGTCCCCGGTTGCGTTTCGAATCTCCCTTGGTACCAAAGGATCCCGCTTCTGACATTCTTCACAGCTTTGAATCCATTTCTTGACCTTCTTTTTCAGGCTTGGCCACCAAAATCTGGTTACCAAACGCTGATAGGTTTCTTCAATGCCTTGATGTCCCAGTTCCTCGTGAACTTTTCGGAGTAATCTTTCCTGATAAACATCCCTGGTTACCACAATCTGTGGAGCAGGTGAATGTTTTCTCATAAGTCGCCCATCACTGCTAAAAAATTGTGCTGAGTTCCGTCGAAGTCTTGCAAATTCCAGTCGATCCATATGTGCCGGTTGTTCCAAAGTTTCCAAATAGTGTCGTAAGTCTCGCCAATATCCAGGAGCTTCCCATTCATTAAGTTCTAATATTTCAGCTTGGGAACAAATCTGAAAATTATAACATGGTTTGACCACTGGTTCTTCCTTGTCAAAGTCTTCTTGGTCCTGGTAAAATTCCTCATCATCACTAGAGATGGGTTGCCGTGAAAGTCCATCCGGCAAAGTGAAGGTTTTCCCAGGTTTGTGAACTATATCAAAGGAAAATAGCTGGATGAAGGCCACCCATCGTGTCATGGCCGCATTTGGAAGGGATGGGGAATTTATCATTTGAATCAAAGATTTTGCATCCACTTGAAGCTCAAAGTGTTGGCCCCAAAGATAAGTCTGTAATTTCTTCAATACTCTCGATACCCCACATAACTCCAATTTCTGGCTGAGAATATCTTGATTCCAAGGGTGAAAATACTATAGATTCGTAAAGTACTGGTCGATCCAATCCGGTGTCCACTTCGGTTTGCATTAATACAGCTCCTGCTGCAGTGAAGCTCGAGTCAACCGCCAATTTGATCAATCCTGCGTTTGCTGAATAGTCAAGGCTTTTGAGAACAATGTCCTTGCCCACAATTTCCTTGAGTCAATTAAAAGCTTGATCACAAAGAGTGTTCCAGATCCATTCCTGCTTTTTCCTGGTAAGTTGTCTTAGAGGTGCAGCTATTTCTGAAAGATTCTGGATGAAAATTCGAACATAGACAATGATGCCTAAAAATCCTTGTAGTTCTGTCAGGTTTGCAGGTGTTGGCCATGTCAGAATTTTGTTCTTCTTTTGCTTGGATACACATTGGCCTTGCTGAGATACGATATGTCCAACAATATCCAAGGCTGGGACACAGCAAGCAAATTTCTTTCCTGATACTGTGAGTCCTGCCTCTTCTACTCTAAACAATATGTGTTCCAAAGTCTGAGCGTATTCCCAAATAAATTGTCGTATTCCCGGATTGTCGTCCAAAACTTGTCCGCCGTAGGTTGTTTTTGGTCCTTTTATGCCGCCATCTTCAATGAATACCCCAGCATGTTCAGGGATTTCATCCTGTAAAATCCACATCATCTGTGCTTGGTATACTGCTACTGAGTTGGTTGCTCCTTGAGGAAGCCTAGTGAGTTGGAAACGTCCAAGTGATGTGTCAAAAGTTGTAAGTGGTCTTGATTCTTGAGCCAATTCTCGTTTGTCATAGCCACCCATAATATCACCCAAGCCATAACATGCTCTTCCTGCAAAAGCTTCAATGAATTCTTCTGTTGCTGGAGGTAAGCCTGCATCCCGTATAGTGACTCTGTTCATTTCTTGTAGATCGTGCACAATCCAAAGTTTTCCATCATGCTTGGCCATGCAGAATACCGGACTTGAGTAACTTGAGGTTGATTGTTCATATAATCCTGTTCAAACTCTTTCTCGAACCAATTCGGTGTATTTGTCCTTGATTGCTTCAGGGATTGGGATTGGTTTCTTTTGCCAAGGGGTGTGCTCTATAACAGGAATGACATAAGGTAAGCCATAGGAATGTTTCAAGATTCCTCTTTCAGCTGGGCAAAATGCCAAGGCTTTTTCCCTGAGCACAATGAGATGTCGGAAAAGTTTTATTTCCTCGGGCCACAACCATCCTTCTGGTCCAAAGTTGATAACACCCAATCGTTCCTCGGTTATCTTGTTGGTAGGTTTAAACTCGGGTAGATTTGGTGTCAGTGGTGTTTGGTATGGGTCTCGAGATAGTGGAGGTTGTTGAAGCGGGGGATTGATTGATTGAGGCATTGCTTGATTTACTGGTCGGACTTTCTTGGCTACTGGTTTGTACTTGGTCATACACCACAAGTTGTCCTTTTTCCAGTTCTTGCAGAGATCTTCCTGAACCTTCAATCCTAGACCTGTTGTGAGTAAAGTGTTGATTTTCAAGTCTTTGTCTTGAAAGGTATTGATGTTGATGGTTGGGTGCTCTGACTTTTTCTTGCTAGTCTTATTTTTGACAAAATGACAGATTTTCTTGACCCATTTGAGCTTCCTTTGAACCAAGCTTGGTTTTACGGTGTTGTCCGAGTCGTCCGAAAAGTGAGATTGAACCGTGTCTTGAGTTTGATACGCCTTGGTGTATGCAGTTCCTACTGGGTTGAGGTTCTTCATTTGATTCCAACCTTTTCCCTGTCCTATTTTTGCAATGGGAACAGTGATACGTCGGCCACTATTGCCTTGAAAAGATTGTAGTTCCCCAGTTCCTGGATAATCCAAAGTGCAGTCGTAATCAAACAAAAAAGGTTGTCCAAGGATACAATCTTGAGCTTGAGGTGAACTGGTCCAGTGAATCGTCCAATGCTGATGGCGCAATTTTCCACTACTCCTTTAATGTCGCAACGGTCCCCGCCAATCCCCTTCATGGGTATGTCCACTTTGATGACTTCCAAATTAAGGACAATTGCCGCTTGCCTTGGAATAACATTGACCATGGAACCGGAGTCAACCATGAAAGGTACCCTTTTTCCTGATATGTGAGTCTCAATGAAACCCAGGGCACAACTATAAAAGCAATTGTAGTCCTGGTCCTCTTCTTCTGGATTAAGAAGCATTGATGCTGATACGTTGGAGTCTTGTGTTGGTCCCTTTACATAGGTAAACTTTGAATTTTTGTGTTCCGGAATTCGTTTCTGAATTTTCTTGATTACTTCTTGAGCGTATGTTGGTGAAATTGATGTGAGTTGAGAAAAAGTGGTGGGTATCTTCAAGTTGTCCAACTCTGAGACTAAGGCTGATTCAACCGTCTTCTCTGTTTTCTGAACAGTTGGTTTTGCTTGAGGTT